AGTTAACTTTCTTACATAAGGATCATATTTTCTACTCTGTGAAATAAGTTATATTTTTTACTCTGTAAAATATTTATGGACGTCTACTGTTTTTCTCAGTGATTTGATTTTCAAATGTGTTAAAATATTAATCCTTTTGTGATTTTTTTATAAATTAAATTTTTTTTGTTCTGTTTTTTTGTTTTGGCAGCTGGCCAGTATGGGGATCCAAACCCGTGACCTTGGTGTTACAACACCATGCTCTAACCAACTGAGCTAATCAGCCAGCCCTTATAAATATTCTTTACAGCTATTTTCTGTCTTTTACTTTTGTCTATATTGTGACCTTGGTGTTACAACACCATGCTCTAACCAACTGAGCTTATCAGCCAGCCCTTATAAATATTCTTTACAGCTATTTTCTGTCTTTTACTTTTGTCTATATTCTTTGATATATAGAAATATTACATTTCTATGATGTTGATTCAACTAACTATTGTGATTTTTATTTTTATGTTTAAACTCAGGAGATTTGAACTTTATAGAATGAGTACAGAATACAGAAAAAGGAACAGGCAAATGTATTTTTATCATAGATTTACCAAACACATTCCTTTACCTTTTTCAAATATCTTCTATAGCACTATTTATTCCTTCAATTTCAGCATGTAACTCACAATAGAATACCATTGCTATTTATAACAGTAACCCATACATAGTAATAAGTACTTTGATGGTGAATTTATAGCAACCTTATGTTTCAAGTAAGAATAAATTCTAAATTATAGAAAAAGCGGGATTACTTTCTTCCCATGTTATTCTTGTCCTCTTGGTTAAGTAGACTATTTTTAAAATGAAAGGGACAGAAGTAACACTGGTGAGATGTAAAATAAACTCTTGATGGGCACCTAGTGCTACAAATGAACTGGAGTCTGAGCCCAAGCAATTACAACCTATAGTACTTAGAGCTCACTGATGAGATAATTCAATTACTGTCAATGATCTCTGGGAAGATCTACTTCTCACTCTATTAGATGACGAACCACATTCAAAGGTCTTTTCATGTATTATTTCTAACCTTCACAAAAATATTTCAAAATATGTATTTCACAAATCAGGAAACAAAGGCTCAGAAAGGTTAAATAACTTGCCAAATTTACCCTGCATGTCAGCGGTGGAGCTGGAGTTTAAACCCAGATCTCTCTGATTCAAAAAATTTGAATCTTCCCTACTATGTCAAGCTGGCTTCCAGAACACTAACTACTTGATATCAAGAGCTTCCAGTATGGGGGCCGGCCCGGTGGCGCACTGCTACAGTGCGCAGCTTGGGAGCGTGGCGGCGCTCCTACCGAGGGTTCGGATCCCACATACAGACCGGTTCCGCTCACTGGCTGAGCGAGGTGCGGGCGCGACGCCGAGGGTTGCAATCCCGTTGACGGTCCCGGTCCGGTACGGGCGCAACACTGAGGGTTGTGATCCGTTGCCGGACACGAAAAAAGACAAAAAAAAAAAAAAAAAAAAAAAGAGCTTCCAGTATGCAAGGCATTATCTCATTATCCACAGAATAATGAGGTGAATATTCCTGATCATTTGATATTCATATTGCTAGCAAGATTTTAGAACTAGTAATTAAAAAGGTTTCTGAGCAACAGGGAAAGGATTCAATCACTAGGAGCCAGTAAGGCTTTGCTAGAAGTAAATCATGCCTGGTTACCCTCATTTTCTTTTTAATTTGGTCAACAGCTCTTAGATCAGAGGAATAGTGGAGTTATTCAGACAGGCATTTGAAAAAGTCTTTCCTATGATCCTGTTTCATGAACATCTGAGTTATAATGAACTCCACTTAAAGAGCTTTGATTAATGGGCTGACGTTCTTAGGCTAATCTTTTCTTATTTATTCACTCACGAGGATAAGGACATGGAGGATATCAACTCTGCTGATACTGGGAGGCTGAGAGGAACAGCTAATAAGTGAGACAAAGGACTCTAGATTGAAGATAATTTCAGCAACTTGGAATAATGAGCAGATCCCAATGAGATAAAATTTAATGGGGCTGAAAGGGAAGTCTTCCACTATGATTCAGGAAAAAGCGCTTGAATACTAGTTGGAGACACAGTGCTTGATGGATTTTGGAATCATTTCTATGATGAAGCAGCCCCAAGAGCCGGGCAATGGTAAGATGTGAGAACCACGGCCCAGTGTGTGGATGAGGAAGCTTGTGCCCCAACGCCAAGGCTCCTGCGCTTTCTTAGGGACTCCGATGGACAGAACTGTGCTGGAGGGAGTTTCCATCGTGTGAGGCACTCAAACTCGTGACTGCGGTCACAGGGTCAACAGCTGAAGGAACTGGAAAGGTTTAACCTGAGGAAGACTTAGGGGAGATGGGATGTCTGTCTCCAAACTTTTGAAGGACTGAGTTAGAAAGAGACATGGAAAAGGCCCGTGGTATAGATGGGCTTAGAGGGTGGCATTAGGAGAAGTTATAGGGGATAGACTTTGACTTTACTGAAGGAAGAACTTTCTAACATAGTTGTAGAAAAATGAAATAAACTATCAAAAAAGTAAGTCCTTTAACCTTGGACTCTTGCTCAATCAGAGGCAGGATGACTGTCCATTTGGGAGGGATGCTGTGGAGGAAATTTTAGCACTCAATGGAGGTTTGACCTTATGACTGCTAGGATCCCTTCTTAATAAGAGATTCTATAATATTCAGAAAATAATTTTTTTCTCATGTAAAATATATAGCAAATGATATAAAAAATGTGATTATGAAAAACAGAAAAGAATAAACATTCTAAAACAAACAAGAAAACACTAATTTGTTATGTGAATTCAGGCATGTTCCCTGAAACTCTCCATCTTCAGTTTACTTTGCTGGCCTAGTTCCCAAATTTATCAGTGCATCTGAAAACTCAGTGCCCTCAGCCACATCTTGGAGGCTGTGATTTAGTAGATCTGGGCAAACTATAATTTTTTTTTTCCTAATTCTCTTGGTGATTCTGATGCTCAGGCAGTTTGGGGGACCACTGAAATTCTAGACTTACTTACAAGGTAACCTATTTTGCATAAGAAATATGTACATATATATAATGCTAGAAAAACCTTAATAATTCTAATCAACCTGTTATTATTTAAGGCTACAGCAGTTCAATATTTAAGCAACATTTCTATGCAGGCAGCAAACTCAAGCACAGTATTCTAAGCCCTAATAGCTTAGAACATAAAAGTTTAAAAATATCACATCTCTTGTTTTGCAATGTTTAATGTCATGTATAGATCATTTCTACCTTTTCAGCATTTCTTAGATAACATGTTTTAAAAATTGTCATACCACTTATATGAGGAAATAGTCATACTCATAGAAACAGACAGTAGAATGGTAGCTGCTGAGAGCAGGGAGAAGGGGGAAATGAGAGGTATTAGCCAAAAGGTAACCCCCGCCCAAAATGGTGGAATATAGTGAACTGAAAACTAACTGATAGGTGATGGAAGTGTTTGAAGGAGAGAGGGACTGACTCTCTCAAATGCAGATAATAAAGATTGGGGGATATTTTGAGGAGATAAAAATGCTCTAAAATTGGATTGTGACAGTTGCACAACTCTAGACATTTACAAAAAGAAATCAGTGAATTGGATATTTAAAAGAATACATTCTAGGGCATGTAAATTATACCTAAGTAAAGCTGCTTACTTAATAAATAAATAAGAACATCATTTTTCATTAAAAAAAAAAACATACTTTTTATAAGCATGAGACTTCCATTCCTAAACAAATAACAGAAAATTTCAGAAAACTGGTAAGAAAAAAATGAGAAGATGATGTTCATATATATATAGTTTTCAGCTTAAGTAACTTCTTTTTTTCTTAAGTTTCCACTTGGGTAGGCAAAGGCTCAGAAAACGTAAAAAGAAGACATGCCCTGTCTTATCTAGTAAGCTTATTCAAGAGCTTACTAGTACTAGTAAAAACCAGTGTGGGGGTATTAAATAAATCAATATTTCGATTTATTAAAACTACAAAGAGAGAAAATTAAATGTTTCCTTCATCTTTTATGTTCAACTTATAAATCTTTTTATTTTTTTATAAATCTAGTAAATTTTGAAAAACTGTCTTCAAGGAAGCTTTTAGCACCTAATTAAATTTAAGGTGGTCAGTTTTAATGTAATAAAAATGGCATTATTAAAGTACTGATTAAATTCTGATTTTTTCCATATATAAAAAAAGCGACTCTTTCAAAGGTGGTGTTAATTTTTAATCATTTCAGTGTTCACTATATAAGAATGAACTTTCTCCTCAGAGGAGTTTGGTAAGAGATCCTGACAGTCATAAATTTGCTTTCTTATCTGTTCTCATAAGAGGCTTTAGAGGGGACATGACAGTAACCCATCATCCAACATGCTTTCACTCAGACGATAAATCCATAGCCTGTCGTATTCTGGACTTTGAGGCAAATGATTTGAAAAAGCAATATTAAATAACATTATTTGTATTTCCTGAAAATTCAACTTGGGAAATCATTTTGCTGAGAATAATTCTTATGGAGAATTTATGTTAATTGATCTAACAATAGTGACACTATATTTATTGTTAAGCAATCTAATGCAAAAATCCTTTTACTTGGTTTCTTCAGGTCTGGCAGGTTGCCACGTGCATCTCACAGTGAAAATGGTCACAACTGACAATGAACTGGCCCAGTCAGATAATGCTGATTTTTAATTAATGTTCACCAGATGATAGAAGGGAACTTTACCAAATTCAAAATTAGAATTGAAAACAAAGCTGAGAAGAGAACTTCTAAATTGTCCCTTCTGGTACATATACACTTCTTTTTAATTATGATTCTGACAGGTCAAATATTTTGAACTTTACCAAATTCAAAATTAGAATTGAAAACAAAGCTAAGAAGAGAACTTCTACATTGTCCCTTCTGGTACATATACACTTCTTTTTAATTATGATTCTGACAGGTCAAATATTTTTAAAACTTTTCCATGATGTGGAAGGAAACATTCTACTTACAGATGCACAACACTATGAGAAAAAGGAGGTATGTGACCAGTTCTCGTAAAACACTTTTAAGGTATTTCTCCCGGTTACTGTTGCTTTCCTCCATGAGTCTTGTTCCCCAGAGACCTTTAAAATAATAATGGGAAAAAAAAAGATGTCATTTTATTTAAGAAATTTCATGAATGGCAAAAAGGGGGAAAAAACATAAAATAATAGTGTAATCTGTGAAAGAGATCAATATATATACGAGCACATTCTGAATGCAACTGAGGAACTAGTTTAGTAGGATTATCTTTATTTAAGAATACATCAGGCTCTACTGTCCCCACAAATGTGCAAAACACATGGCAACTATTCAATCATTTTCTAAACTCCCAAACCCATTAGCAAATATCTCAGTAAAAATTTAGAAAGAGAACAGGAAATGAGGACAGCCCTAACAGAGGAGTTAAATAACTGTGCATAACACAAAGCTCTTCCTATTTGGGGGAGGATACAACTTGAAAGTATCCTCCTATTAAACCTACACGATGTGAAGTACATTGCAAATGATGGCTTTTAGGTCACCCTGATAAGAACAAGTCCTGGCTGGAGCATCATTTCAATATGGAGACATTTATCAAACTTCTAGCACACTGGTATAAAAGCCTCTCTGTACTCATCTTTGTCCTATAAGAAACTCCATAGTGACTCATTACACTAAGCATGCTAGGCTTAACAGATTTTTTAAATGCTGACTGACATATACTTTTAAATTAAAAGCAACAACTCATCCAACTTCTCCCTCTCTCTTTAGAGAAAGAGTAAAATTAGCAAGCATGTTGTATATTTTAGCAGATGGAAAAAGCACTGGGCTGGCCAAGTGAAGATGACATAACCTTCCGTGAGTTTGCTGGAGAGAGTTACCGCAGTTTTGGACTCGGCCAGCAGGCTGACATGGTCGCCATCTAAAGCCCCATTAATGAACAGCGCGGTAAAGTCACATTGCTGGTTACTTGGAAGAACCCCAGCGTTTTCCAAAAAAGACAAACTTCTCAATCCTTTCAGTTAGATTAGGTCGGCTGTTAATGGAAACAACCTGGCTCCTGCAAGTTGTTTCACAATGTTGTTCCACATTGTTAAAGGAGACTTTATCTCCTTGGATAATGCACGCAGCCACGTAAGCAACAATCGAATCACAGAGAGAAAAGGGAAGAATAGTATATGGTCTTCTACTTTAAAGAAATGACTTCATCACCAGTGTTTGCATATATTTTATGTCCTATAATAATACATTAATTCTCCTTCTAAATTTGGGTATTTCCTTTTCTTTTCTCTCCCAAATTTCCTTTAGGGAAAGTCAGCATCTGAATTCAAAGACACTGTGTTACGCATCATAGGTTTTGCCACACTGAGAGTGGAGCATAACTTATGACCAGGTTTGCTTCTGCCAAGATCTGGTACTTGTCAGGGAATTAGTCACTCAGAAGAAATGCAGCAAGCAGAATGTTTGTTCACTGAAACTCTATCATATGAAAGAATTATTACAAATTTAGATGACATGGAAGATTACAACTCAGAATAACACAGAGGCAGCCAAGGATTAGGTTCAGTAGCCCTGGACACAAACACACCATTTTGGGGGGTAGATTACTTTGGGAGATCAGGCCTAAAATATACATGTAAGTAGAAATTGCTGGTCTCTTTACCACCAGGAAAGACAGTTTCCCTGCCTCACTTGGTCAGTGATTTCATTCTTTCCCATGGTTTATAAACAATTATGCACTAAGAAACAGTCATGGTTCTTAATATTTACAAATGGTATTGCTTGTCCTGTAAGTAGAAAAAACAAACCCCTATCAAATTTTATTCAAGCTAAATCTGCAATGGCTTATAGCAATTTAATTCTAGCCCTTGAAAGAAACATGTTAAATGAAACAAGTCCCCTTATCCATATTTTTATATAAAATACTTTTATATGTTTACCTTTTCTAAATTCTTCTACCTATCTCCTCAAACATTTACTGCTTTACAAATTTCATCCCATTTCCCCACTGGGTGTGTATGTAGGGTCGATCTTAGAACACAGGGACCTCTTTACATTTTTTTTTTTCCTTTTTGTCTTTTTTCGTGTCCGGCAACGGATCGCAACCCTCAGTGTCGCGCCCGTACTGGACTGGGACCGGCAACGGGATCGCAACCCTCGGTGTTGCTCCCGCACCTCGCTCAGCCAGTGAGCGGGAACCAGTCTGTATGTGGGATCCGAACCCTCGCTGGGAGCGCCGCTGCGCTCCCAAGTGGCGCACTGTAGCAGTGCGCCACCGGCCGGCCTGACCTCTTTACTCTCGCTCAGCCAGTGAGCGGGAACCAGTCTGTATGTGGGATCCGAACCCTCGCTGGGAGTGCCGCTGCGCTCCCAAGTGGCGCACTGTAGCAGTGCGCCACCGGCCGGCCTGACCTCTTTACATTCTGATGGGTGAGAAACGCCTGTATCCTCAAATAAGAAAAATAGCTATCCTGTAGCCAATTACTCCCCATGTTTGGCAGAGCTGATAGAATAAGAACAGTTAAGGATGGAGCTCCTGTCCAAAGTGGCAGCATTGTTCAAAATCAACTGCTGTCTTTTCCTACAATTGTCCCAGTTGTGGTGGGATTACCTGCTGTTTTAGTCTGTTTTGTGTTGCTATAACAGAAATACCTGAGACTGGGTAATTTAAAAAGGAAAGAGGTTTATTTGGCTTACGATTCTGGGACAGCTGCATCTGGCACAGGCCACAGGCTGCTTCTACTCATGGTGGAAAGTGGCAGGGAGCCAGCAGGTACAAGCAGATCACATGGCGAGAGGAAGCAAGAGAGAGAGAGAGAAGGTGCCAGGGTCTTTTTAAGCAACGTGTTCTCACGGGAACTAATTGAGCGAGAACTCACTCATTAATCTCCCCTCCCCCAGGGAGAGCACTAATCCATTCATGAGGGATCCGCCCCCATGACTCAATCAGTTTCCAACACTGCCACACTGGAGATCAAATTTCCACATGAGTTTTGGGGGGGAAAACACATCCAAACTCCATCAAGGCCTTTTTCTTTCTTGCTGGTTGTGCTCTGACTTCCAGACTGCTCATTGCAGCAAGAACATTATGCT